GACAGCTGCACAGCGCACCAGGTTCATGTGTGAGTCGTGAGTAGGCCAGCATGCCAAATGCGATAAAGGATAAAAGACTTTGAGAAACACCTCATGGACCTGAATGGATGGCCCTCAAGCTCACTTTCAGTTATTTTATTAATCAGAAGAAAACTGGTCCATTCAAAGAAATAGGAATTAGCCTATCCAACCTAATCGACCAAAGGGAACCATTCGATTGTGGCTTGTTTTGGTAGAAAATGACTGAGCGTCGCCATGGCAACATTAGAACCATTTAGCACAGATCTCTTAGCCCCACCCCTTTCACCTGTCTTCTGCTCATCAACAACAACGGTGCGCATTAGTGCCCGCCCACTTTTTCAGCAGCATTGGGTCCTGAAGTATTTTTTCTATTCATTTTCTTATTGGGATTTAAAAAAAATCTTTGTTAAAAGTGTTTTAAGCTATGACCAGCTAAGGTGAAATCACAGCATTATAAACATTTATTTAAAGCAAAAAAGTATGTGAAAATCAGACAAAAAGACAAAAATACAAGAATGTGTACTTAACTGGTTTTAGTCAGAAAAAAAGGAACTACAATACAATGAAGCATTGTGAGACATAGGACATAAACACATATTCTTAGCTGTTTCAGGGAAAATTCATACTATTAAGTATGTAATAAGTCTCTGTTCACAATATTTGCTCAAAAGCCATCCATATTAAACAATCCACATAAAACTAGAGCACACTAGTAGTCATGCTATTTTAATATACTATGATTTGGGATACACTAATCCCAATTTTGCATATAATACAGCTTCGAAAGTATGCAAATTGAGATTTACCTAAAAAATGCTTTCGGGATTCATCATTATGTCCAATGGATTATGGAAATGTGCAATACAGTAAAACAGAAACAGATTAAACATTATTGAGGCATACAATATGAGTTAAATATTAACAACACCACAAACGCCCCACCTGTAAAATCATTAACTACTTAAAAATCTGACATCATATGGAGAAGCTCAGTTTTGAAAATCAATTATGAAAGAGGTAAGTAACACGAGTAAGGTCAAACATTCAGAACGTTTGGGGTCAAAGTTCAAGTCCCTATAAACCTTATCACACATGCATACAAATAGCCCATCAGATTCTAGAAGATACAGCAAAACAAGGCAGTTTTGGAATAATGAAAACTCTTCCAATTTAATTCTAACCTAAATCCACCAAACTGTTTGTTCTAAAGCCCAAATACTCATCCATGTGTCATACATCTGGTGCGTTTGTGCGTGCACGTCTTCATTAAGACCATGTGGCGTTTGCGTTTATAGCATTATAATGTGGGTAAGATGATGCAGTGAATTAAATACAGAACTGAAATCCACGTCATCGGATTCCCATTTTTATTTGGAACTTAACAGCCATGCAAACAAACACATCTACCGCACTATAAACATTATAGAGAAATCTTTACAGGTTGATACAGCTTGTGCACTATAATACCGTCTCCTTAAGTGTTGTCATGCACTAAATACTCTAAAATAGAGCCCAAATCATTACATGGAACCACCATACAACCACGCACAGAGAATATGAGCTCCTAATCCAACAGTTAATAATCTGTGGCGTATAATCTCAGGATCAGCATGCATCCATTCACCTCTTTTGACGAAGCAATTGCGTGACATTATCCATCTGTTTTTTATGTTATGAATGCTGCAAATATAACAGTTTCATTTATATCTCAGAAGTTGCAATTAAAAGTCCCCTGCAGTCACTAATTTTATCCCTTAAAAGGATAGCTCACCAAAAAATGTTAATTCTGTCATCATTTACTCACATTTAGTCATTGACTTCCATAGCATGGGAAAAATACTATGGAATTCAATGGCTACCGTCAACTGTTTGGTTACCAACATTCCTCAAAATACCTTTTTGTGTTCAACAGAATAAAGAAACTCAAACAGGTTTGGAACAACTTGAGGATGAGCAAGTAATGACGATTTTCAGTTTTGGGTGGACTATCCCTTTAAAACTGTCATAACCAAAATGAAATTTTTCCTGTGAAAATAATTTCTTTGTGCCTTAAAATGGCTTTAATATAACTCTACACCTTTATGTGGATACATGAATATGCAAATTAGTCCCCGCCTCCACTCAATTACAGCAGCTGGGACCTGCTCCACTTAAAAAAGGAACTACAATACAATGAAGCATTGTGAGACATAGGACATAAACACATATTCTTAGCTGTTTCAGGGAAAATTCATACTATTAAGTATGTAATAAGTCTCTGTTCACAATATTTGCTCAAAAGCCATCCATATTAAACAATCCACATAAAACTAGAGCACACTAGTAGTCATGCTATTTTAATATACTATGATTTGGGATACACTAATCCCAATTTTGCATATAATACAGCTTCGAAAGTATGCAAATTGAGATTTACCTAAAAAATGCTTTCGGGATTCATCATTATGTCCAATGGATTATGGAAATGTGCAATACAGTAAAACAGAAACAGATTAAACATTATTGAGGCATACAATATGAGTTAAATATTAACAACACCACAAACGCCCCACCTGTAAAATCATTAACTACTTAAAAATCTGACATCATATGGAGAAGCTCAGTTTTGAAAATCAATTATGAAAGAGGTAAGTAACACGAGTAAGGTCAAACATTCAGAACGTTTGGGGTCAAAGTTCAAGTCCCTATAAACCTTATCACACATGCATACAAATAGCCCATCAGATTCTAGAAGATACAGCAAAACAAGGCAGTTTTGGAATAATGAAAACTCTTCCAATTTAATTCTAACCTAAATCCACCAAACTGTTTGTTCTAAAGCCCAAATACTCATCCATGTGTCATACATCTGGTGCGTTTGTGCGTGCACGTCTTCATTAAGACCATGTGGCGTTTGCGTTTATAGCATTATAATGTGGGTAAGATGATGCAGTGAATTAAATACAGAACTGAAATCCACGTCATCGGATTCCCATTTTTATTTGGAACTTAACAGCCATGCAAACAAACACATCTACCGCACTATAAACATTATAGAGAAATCTTTACAGGTTGATACAGCTTGTGCACTATAATACCGTCTCCTTAAGTGTTGTCATGCACTAAATACTCTAAAATAGAGCCCAAATCATTACATGGAACCACCATACAACCACGCACAGAGAATATGAGCTCCTAATCCAACAGTTAATAATCTGTGGCGTATAATCTCAGGATCAGCATGCATCCATTCACCTCTTTTGACGAAGCAATTGCGTGACATTATCCATCTGTTTTTTATGTTATGAATGCTGCAAATATAACAGTTTCATTTATATCTCAGAAGTTGCAATTAAAAGTCCCCTGCAGTCACTAATTTTATCCCTTAAAAGGATAGCTCACCAAAAAATGTTAATTCTGTCATCATTTACTCACATTTAGTCATTGACTTCCATAGCATGGGAAAAATACTATGGAATTCAATGGCTACCGTCAACTGTTTGGTTACCAACATTCCTCAAAATACCTTTTTGTGTTCAACAGAATAAAGAAACTCAAACAGGTTTGGAACAACTTGAGGATGAGCAAGTAATGACGATTTTCAGTTTTGGGTGGACTATCCCTTTAAAACTGTCATAACCAAAATGAATTTTTTCCTGTGAAAATAATTTCTTTGTGCCTTAAAATGGCTTTAATATAACTCTACACCTTTATGTGGACACATGAATATGCAAATTAGTCCCCGCCTCCACTCAATCACAGCAGCTGGGACCTGCTCCACTTTGACTTGAATGGTGTTGACTGATGAATTTGCACATGGTTTGTCTTTAATCATTTTAAAAACACCTAAACGACATGTGAATAATGTCGAAAACTTGACTTTCACCACATAAAGCAAACTTCACATGGCAGGACATCCAGAGGTCGACAAAGAGCAAACATTTTCTTAAGATGCTATTTCAGTTTACTTTTCTAGAACATTTTCTTAACCTATAAAACAGTCTGAAAAAGCTTCAGCTTCAAGTGCAATGCACTTCAGACAGTGCTTGGAGAAAGCAGAATGCATATCTTCTTGACAAGCACTGAGATATTACCAGAGCAATAAAAAAAATCATTATCTTGGCAATAAAATCTGCCGCCATGATGCCTAATGTCAAAATGCATGATAAATGCAAAAAAGTGTGCTTATGAAATATGAGGTGACCTTAAACCTGGTAATACGGTCTGAACTCTGTAATAATTTCAAGGACTGATCATCTGTGAACCAATCTATGACCTTTGCCATGCCTCAATGTGATGCACGTTTGCAAACCTCCGCTATATCATGCAATCGAACAAACAAACTAAACGTATTTAATCAGCAAGACAGTATACTTGGTCATAATTCAACATCTAATAATACACCAGAAATCATTTCTATAAAACCTAATGCAAACTACAAGACAGAAGCTCATCGAATCTGTCTATTCAACCAAAGGGTGATTTTTTTTTTCTTTTTTTAAACAGAAACCGTACTTTATCTATGCTAAGCTTAACTTGGCACGAGATCTTTGCGTACTTTCCAATATTCAAATGCGACAGAAGTTTGAAACACTTGGACTCAAGAATTCTGGCACAATGTCTGCACAACTCAACCAGGTTTACAGTAATTAGCTGAACTCAATCATCTGTTGACAGATTCTTACTTCTCTGAAAAGCAAAAGACAGTGGCTTATCAGTACTGCCCGGTTATCAAACTAGACGTTTCTTAATAATATGCTGGAAGAACCAGATTTCCAGTGATCCTATTATTGCAATAAACCAGGGTAGGCGATGGATTTTCTGTTGTTTTGATGGTTCCCAAAAGAGCACTGAATGTTTGCACGGCTGCAGCATGATATAAATCAAAGCAACAGGGCTGTAATCAACATTATAGACTTTGGTGAAAAGATTTAACACACATGTGAACCCTCAGACATCATCATCACCATCATCAGGAAACACAAAAACCGTAACCTCACCTGCGCGTAATCTCTCTCCAGAGTGGCCTTTTTCTGGCTGTAGGTTCTGCAATTAGAAAGAAAAACACAGTGAAAAAAACTTGCAGTAAACAGAAAAGAATAACAATCAGCTTAAATTTATTATAACGACCTGAAGTTAATATGTTTTTGGTTAAATGCTTGAGATAATGTCAGTTTACCACAAGCTCAAGATATCTTTTTATTCTACAACATAACTTTTAAAAGCTTTTACCTGTCATGAAAAAGGCAAACAAGTGTCTAAATGGGACTACAGAGGTTGTTGGGGACATTAAACATCATTACACCGAACAGGTAAACTCATCTACTCACTAGTCGCTTTCACAGCCTCGTTGATCACATTAAAAACTATTCTAACTCAGACTTCAATCAAATGTTTTTAAATAAATACTTAACGCTTAAAGTTTAAAGCCTTTTTACTTATTTAGGCTTCAAAATTCATAAAAGTTGAGTTCATGTTCATTTGTAAAGATGCTGATCATGCTGAACGAAAAGTGTAAGAATCATAAACCTTTGCTGGTCACAGAGCTTATTTTCTACAATAATCCAAAAGCCAATGGAAAAATCATATTGGGTTATTTTGTCAAGGGAACTAGGGTGATTCTAACTTCAAGTCTGGCCTGCAAAGATATATCATCATTGTAGCTCAGTGGAAAAAAGAAAGAATATTCAACAAAGGTTAAAAACAGATTCTTTTGCAGTAGATTTTGGAGCACTTGTCTCCTTCTGAAACATATTATTGCTGTATCCTTATTATTTTAACTATCAATAAGTTACTGCAAAACCATGACTAAACAGCAAACCAATAGCATGCCTGGCCTAGATAACACCTGAAAAGGAAAATTGTTTTAGAACATTTTTGTGAATAGATTTGTTTGATCTTAAAATTCTTTTTTTAAGTCTTAAAAAACAGATTATTAAAGTATGTTTTACAAGAAAATGCTATTTCAGTCTTTCGACTTCAAAAATTCATGTTTAATTCAAAGTGTTATTTGCCATTTCAATTATCTGCAAAATTATAAGTGAAAATTGTTTCAAAATAAATCCTATACCATTTATTTTCAGTGCAGATTTGAATAACATTCACAATAAGACTAGAAATATGCATAAATCATGTAAACTGGGCCAGTTTTGGGTTCATGCTGAATTTAAATCATAACGCAAGATCACAAGATTCACAGTGATTTTTGAAGTTCAAGCTCTCTGAGCTGCAAGAATAATTCATCTCCCTCACACATCATACTGTGAGTTGGCCATGGAGACGGTGTTTAACATTCTTCCTCGTATGACTGGTTTGGTTTTCGAGCCAGAGGGCAGGAGGCATCCAGACAGCTGATGGTTTGAGAGCATTCATCTCCCTTCGCAGCATTACAAATGAGTACAGTCTGAGACAAGACGACTTGTTTTGCTTTTCCTCCTTCTGCTGACTCCAGTTCCTTTTCCCATGATCCCATCCCTTAGCTGCACCCTCTGATTTTAATTTCAAATCAGCTGACCTCATGACACGTGTTTTTAAAAATCATGAAGGAACGTGGTAGCAGGGCCTGTCCTATCATATGGGTGGCGGTTCATGTTTATGGGATTAGTGCGTTTGTGGACTCTGCTTTTATGCAAGACAGGAATTTCCGCCCCTCCCCCTCCCCACAGAAATACTTCCAAATACGCAGGAAAGTAAACTACAGGACCCCTCTGTGGCCCGGACCCAGAGTCCTATCAAAACAGGCCGAGATGCTTACATAGCGCCAACAGTTTATGGGGGAAGAGGTTTCGTGTGGTATGTCACACATGCTTGCTCATCGCTTTTCACTTTCCAAGGGTCTGTGGGCCAGTGAACACACCTAAGCATTTCATCCCAGTTCACAGCTACTTTAAAGGCTTCTTCGAAGACGTCTTTATCTGCTGCACATTTACACTGCATGTTCACATACTATACAAAATGTCTATAGTCGTGTGAAATTCCAGTTTTAAAGCAATAATTTATTTATTATTTTGGTAACACTTTACAGCAAGGCTCCATTTGTTAACATAAGTTAACTATATTAGTTAACATGAACTAACAATGACAAATACTTCTAAAGCATTTATTAATGTTAGTTAATGTTATTTCCAAAATGCACTAATGCATAATGGACCTGAGCTGACATGAACTAACAGGGAATATTTATATGTTTATTAACTAATGTGAACAAAGATGAAAAACTACTGTATGTATTGCTCATTGTTGGTAATATTAGTTAACTAACAAACTTTTGGGACCTTTTTGTAAAGTGTTAACATTATTCTTTTAACACAATGTCAGCAGCAAGGCTATCTTCTCGACAAGAAAACAACCAAAAACCTATATAAAGACATTTAAAATTAATATAAGAAAAAAAATCTAAAATACACAAAACATAAAAATACAACAGGTGATACTTTTTAAATACATCCGTTAGACATACCTCTGAATAAAAATGTTGTTTATTTACATTAAAAACAGTGTAAAATAAACTTAATCATACCTAGAAATTAATTGACTAAAAAAAGGTGGTAATACTTTACAATAAGATTTCATTTGTTAACAAAAGTTAACTACATGAACTAACAATGTACAGTCTTTTAACATTAATGCACTCTGAACTAACATGAACATTATTAACTAACATTAATTTTAGTTGACATTAGTTAATGCATTAACTTATGTTTACAAATGATTTAGTTCATATAACTTATTTCCATGAACAAATGTGCTAATCAACTACGGCTGCATACGAAATTGCATAGTTCCCTAATATATAGTAGGCGGGTAGCCAGGGTGCGTCTCAATCAGCTCCCTAGTTCAGTATTAAGTGCACTGCCCAGGGAGTTGAACATTTCTAGGGCCGTCCCAGTGTCAAAATCAATCCAGCGCACTGACACGCTCACTCCCTAGAAATTTCCAGAATGCATGTGAAAAACCACCGGAAATGTCTTCTTAAGTCCAACAAGCTGTCGGATAAATTTATGAACTCTTATTTTCTGTCTTTAAAAATAGATTATGTTTGTAATGATCTTTTATCCCTAATGTGCATGAAAAGTTAAGTAATTAGAGCTGTCAAAAATTTTTTTATTTCAATTTATGCATGCTCTAAAATGTTTCAATATATTTATTAAACATTTGAATGCCATTATGCATGTACATCATCTGTTTAGCTACATTTAAACAGGAAGGACAAGTGCATATTTTTGTCATATTATACAGTGATGTTGCTTCAATGTGTTTCACACACCTATACATATGACCTATATATACATATATGCATATATATAAATATACATATTCAGAATAATCTTAATTTACAACTAGGGAGCAGAATGACACACAGTGCAGGAGTGTGTGGTCAAAAGGAGGACTGTGAAACTGAAAATCATCAGGCTCTATAGGATGAAGTGCGCCTGGTGCTAATTGCACTGTCACTGCTTTCATAAGAGCATGAACAGGGTGACCTCGAGGTCCAGTAAGGCGACAGCCTGCAACAACCTTCTTTGTTGCAAAAATGAAGTCAACAAATTCGTTTTTTACTGCTGTATCATAACCCTCACCACACGCACATCGTCTGACTGAATGCCTGTTCACAGCGCACAAAATTTTGCCACAAATTTCAGCATGACAAGAAGTTAAAACAAAGCTGCATTCGAATGGACTCCTTTCATATTAAGTGGGAAATTCATGTTAAAATAAAGCAACATGTTGTATTTGAAATTACATGAACTTTTCTTGGAGGTCAACAAAAAATTGCATCAGTTTGGTGTGAATAGTGTTAATTAGTGTTAACATTAGCAGCAGATGGGTCTGAATGGATGTAAATGTTAAACCCACTTAAGAATAGAATGGAAATAATAATATATTTACATACTGTAAATGTTTCTATAAATATATTTACATAAAGTTTCACAATTTGAGTTGAATTACTGAAATAAATGAACTTTTCCACGACATTCTAATTTATTGAGATGCACCTGTATATACATATATATATGTAAACACAAAAATAGCAATTAACATTGCATTTCCACTTTAATCTAATAATTGTAAAGGGAAGGGTCTGCATGTAATTTTAAACCCAATCAGAATGCAAATAATGCAAATCAGAATGGAAATATATATATTATTTATGTATATATATATTTATATGATGCAAAAATATATGCATATGTATTCTAATCTAAGTGGGTTTACCATTACATTCAGACTCTACTTGCTTATATATTTATAAATGTATTTTATTTCAAAATTATATATCTATGTAATAACCCACTTAGAATGCAAATGTATATGTAAATATTTAAATATAAACAAACACTTCTGCCAATGAATGCACCTGGAGTGTTACTGTTTACTTTGAGCTGAATAACTCAAGTCTTTTTCTACACTTTGCACAGGATGACCACAAGTGCGGAGCGGTAACAGAAGAAGGCATACGGTGTCAAAGGTTTAACAGACTCAGTGTGTGTGGTGAGGACTGGTTGCTACTAGACAGGAAGAACGATCCACAAGAGGAGGCTGCATTCAGACAGTGAAGCATGTGAACTCCAGATGTTAAACTCTTTGCCACGACTGACCTACATAAGAAACAGCATAGTAAGGGTCAGAGATCACTTGGCCCGAGGTCACGTCTACTAATATGTCTCCTCTGTGAGCTACGCAGTCAAACTTGGCATACACTACCGTTCAAGAGTTTGGGATCAGTAAGATATTTTTTAAAAGAAACTAATACTTTTATTCAGCAAGGATGCATTCAATTGAAAGTGACAGTAAAGCATTTAAAATGTTACGTAATATTTCAAATAAATGCTGTTCTTTTGAACTTCGGAGAATACTAAAAAAAACATTTATCAAGGTTTTCACAAAAATATTAAGCAGCACAACTATTTTCAACATTGACAATACACACAGGGCTCGCAAAATTTCAAAATCACTGGTAGCCCTTCGGGCAGACATTCTTCCGATTTTTGTAGCCCAAAAAGAATTTAAGTAGCCCGAATTAAAAAAAAAAAAAAAGAAAAAAA